ATCGATCCCCGTACCTCTCACATGCTAAGCGAGCGCTCTACCATCTGAGCTACATCCCCGTTGGGCTAGTTGGAAACAATTGACCATTTTGTCAGGCAGCTAACGATTTGTTGAATTTGTGTTGAGCAATGTTAAGGCACTTTACGGAATCTTTTTAAAACAAATACATAAATTTAAACAATATTACTGAACTTCTTTGAGAGGCAGCAAACTTGTTATTAAGCTAAATGTCTGAAAATGTGACAATCTTTCAAAATATTAATATTAATTAGTGTGTTTTAAAATTTCAGTCTATCAGTTTCGCAGTAAATAGATCCATCATATTGATATCCAATCTTCCGTCAGCAGCTCGAAACTTGATAAGAAGTAGACGTCCCTGACTAGGTAACTTGAACAAACTTATGCATTTAATTTCCGTTTCCGGTCAGTGAAAGTTGCCAAAGGAAAGCAACAACAACACCTGCCAGCAGTTGGACTTCAGATCTGGACACTACACTCAACTCGTTCCAGTTTCATGCTCCATTGTTGTCATAGCACAAATACAAATAAACACGCGGACAATTTCATATGGGGATCTGAAACGAGAGAGAACTGAAGACACTTCGGCTGGATATGGATATGGACGCGGTGGTCCATTCGGGACCCATTGCTCATTGCCCATCAGCCGTTACTATCTGCACTTTCACACTTGTGTTTATACAACTGTCGCTTGCTGACGTATTTGTTTGGTCGGCCACGCCCCGCCTTGTCCGGCAAGCTCTATTATTATTTTCACAAGTTATATAAAAATAATAACAGAGCCGGACTGGGCTACAAGCTGACCGGACCATCCATCCATCCATCCATTATGCGCTTCCAGGCATTTATTTGCCAAACAATTCAGCAGCGCGTTGGGTTCACGTCTGCTCCTTGGGCAGCTTCAACCACTTCATCAGCATTCAGCAGCCCAGGGTCTGCATTGGCATTGGCATCGGCATCAGCCACAGCATCAGCAACAGCAATGTCTGGAGCTATCTTATGGTTTATGATGGAATCAAAACAAATGCCATCATTTCGTTTGCTCCTGATGAGTTTGTTTATGCAGATTGGTTTGGAGTTTTTCGGCGTTAATGGATAAATGTCCATGTATGTTTGGCTGCTTGTGTGCTTGTGTGTCCTATGTACACGTACATAAGTAGGTGAGGTTGTGTGTGTGTGTGTGTGTGTGTGTGGCTGTATGTATGTGTGCCCTTCCCACAGCTCTGCACTCATTTCTGTTCACATTTTTACATGTAACCCTTTTTAATGACTTACCAATTGGGTTATTGCCCTTAGTTATACCAAATGTAACATGATGAAGTCTAATTAACATTCCCAAGATCTTTGTGAATAGAATTACAAATATCAACTGTTATTATTATTACATTAATTATTTAAATTTATTTTAAATTTATTTTATATTTCAATCGGTTGATATTTCATTGTAATTAAAAATGATATCAATTTTCTTCTTGTATTTATTTGAGTAGAGAGTAACGGAACTTCGTTTACTTTGATGTGAAAATTTCGTTTCTTGTGAGTTTTTGCTTTGCTTTTTTGGTTGCACACTTTTCAATTAAAATTGTATTGTTTTCTTTTACTTTGTCTGCGTTGTTTACTTAGGCGAGGCTGCTTAGCCGAAAGCACAGGACAACGAGTTGGGTCCGCAGGCTGGCAGCGGAACGGTTCCAGGGCCAGGTCCAGGTCCAAATCCAAAGCTGCTAGCACTCCCTTGAGGCGGAGGCATGGCCGATGGCAGCAGCGGCAGCGGTGCTGGCGGCGGCAGAGGCAGAGGCAGCGGGCGAGGCGGCGGTGGTGTCAGCGGCGTGGGCTGCCGGGCTGGCCCGAAGAAACCGGGCCCGTACGGCGGCTGGGGCACAGAGCTAGCCATGTTCTGATCAGACTGATATATGTAGACATTGCTATTGCCCTGCGCCTGTTGATGCTGCTGCTGCTGTTGCTGCTGTTGGGGCTGCGGCGGGATCGGCGAGGCATAGTAGGTCTGGTAGAAGCCACCTGGTTGCGGTCCAATGGCTGCAGGATTACAGCCGTACGACGGACAGTTGAAGTAGCCATTGAGAGGGAAAGCAGCGCCGGCAAAGAGCGGCGCAGAGCCGTGAAAGGCCAGCCAACGATCGCGCCAGCGTCGAAATAAGGTGCCCAGAAAGAAGAACGAGCGCCCATCAATATGCTCTGGCTGCTCCTGATCATCTTCGTTCGCGTCCTGCTGCATGTCCGCCAAACAAGCAGCCAGCAAGAAAAACATGAGAAGAATCTGTTGAAGAGCTCTTAGAGGAGATCTTGTGATAAAGGAAGCTGAGCTGCCACCTACCCGTGTGGACATTTTCAGCAACTAAGCGCGCTGACGTCTGGAGATGAACTGTGCCCAACTGCTGCCAGCTGAGCCCCAACGAAATGTAGCGTAAGCCGTCGCCTCCATCGCCCATGAGATGCCGCCTAATGAGGCCTGTAATTAACTCTTTGGGCAGCCGTTGCTCCGGTAATCCGCAACAATTGCATCAGCCAAGCGTGCAGCACTTGAAGATCGTCACAAAGCACCGTCTGTTGCAATAGGCTTGGGCTCAGCTGATAAGCGTGCTCAACCGAAGCTAGGCATCTCCCTAATTGCAAATTAGATGCCGAAACAGCTTCAGCCTAAACATAATATTTCAAAAGTCAATAAATATGGTTTGGGCGGCCATAAATTGGAGCAGAGCGAAGCAAGGCAGCTTCCAACGGGGCGTGGCCTGAACCAGCCAAGCGTTTGATATCACATTTGGAGAGGTGTATTAGGAAAAACTATATCTGCTATAGTGTGGAATGCACGATCGTGTAAAACCACGATTGCAATATTTTTTTCGTTTTTCATTTAAATAACAAGCTGCTTAAGATGTACCACGTAATAGGATTTAGTTATATCTGTTTATCTATTTATTTTTAAGATGTAAGAGTTTACATAAAATGAAACTAACTTAAAATTACGCATCAGAGTCATGGGGTCATCCGCTTAGTTTATTTTAAATAGAGGCTACGTAGTATATTTTAGTGCTATTTTATTTTAATTTTTTATCTTCTTTACACACATAATTGCTTCGAATTTATTTCGTTCTAGTTTTATTTTAAAATATTGATGCATTTAATGCTTGAAACGTCCTCTGCTAGGCAAAGTTTTTGAAAATATTTGATTCCGGCACGTGCCTGCCATTATTTACTGTTCCACAATAAAGAAGTTAACCTGGTTCTTTTTACTTATTTTTTTTTTTTTGTCTTGTTTTTGTTTTGCCACATTACGCTGCTTGGCCGCCTAAAAGCGAGCAGCAACAACATTTTGAGTTATGAGTGCTGCGTGTCAGGTGTACTAAAGAAGTTTAAGCAAATCAAAGAAAAATATCGAACGTCTAACAAATACCCTGTATTATAATTATATTATTGAAATATAAAGTGATATGTTAGTATATATTTTTTTTTAATGCTCAGATATTTAGCTTAAAATTATATAATATTTGTTTACCTTTTTAAGAGAACGAAAATACTAGATCATTGTAAATAATAATCAGAATCCACATTTTGTCCTGATGCCCAATTATAAATTAACCGAATACGATTTGAGCACCGCCTCGAGACTTCTTCAACAGCATAGCCACCATGCCCATCGACAACAGAATCAATGGGTATTGCCCAGGTGACAACAATCAGTTGGCTTCCGTATGTATGGGGGAGGGGGGGCTTTTAGCCTGTGAGTGTCTGGCAAAACAAAAACACAAAAGCAAATGCTGTGAAAATTCACGCGCCCGTGAAAATTTCGCACGTTTTTATGGCCATGCGCCAGGCCGTCCCACGGGGCAGGAAAAGGGCAGACGAAAAAGTTGAGAAATGGCCTGATAGATTATGCTTGCGCCGTGGCATGCAGCAACTTAGATTTCTGCGGCTACTTGCATTTAATTAAAAAAATATGCAAACTCGGCAGAAAACTAAAACGAAATTGCAAACAAACCGAAATCGTTGGCAGGGAAACTTTTCATAAACTTTGCTGCCATAAAAACAATAAAAACCGCAATCCCACCCAGCATTGCCTTTGTTATCGAGACTCAAACGGACAATGGCCGAGTGTGTCCTTTTTTACGACAAAGCTAAATCCGGCGGAACCACATAAATTATGTTAATGCTCAGCCACACGCCCACCATGTGTGGCAGTCAGCAGCCAATGGTCAACTGCTCTGCTCGGTTCTGCTCTCCAAGATAATCACAAAAATACACAGCAACAGCAACACGACATTGTGTGCTGAAATGACGTTTGTTTAGTCCTGTGCCTGCCTGCCGTCTGACTGTCTGTCCGATAGTTTTTGCCGTCTATTGAGCGAAATTGCTGACAATTGCTAAAAGCGTTCGGGTGTGAGTTTCTGCTACTTTGTGCTGGACATTTGAGCTAGTCGAGCTGTTCAGTTTTTCTCATTTCGCTTATGAGTTGGGCTGCAGGCGACGAATGCGAATAACATGAGCCGCAGGCGTGGCAATTACACATACACAAGACTCACTGCAGCCAAGCCAATGATAAATGACAGATAGAAGGCATAACAGTTGGGATTCTGATAGGAACAATAACATGAAGGCAAAGCGAAGCATGCCAAACAATATGAACTATACAACAATTAGGCAAATAAGTATACTAAAACTGGGCGACACCGACTACCTAATGCTCGTTTACGGTCTAAAAGGAGTTAGACGACTTGGTAAGACTTAAGAGCGCAAAAACCTAACAGCCACTACCTCAAGGTAGTATATAAAGCATATATATTTTTGGTAAATCAGCAGAGAAAGTGAACGATATCCAATTTCTTACATTTTGGCATTCTGGCTATAGGTAAATCGACCATTATCCGCTTTGCAATTCCCACAACGAGCTTCTTGCTATACTAGATATAATCTTACAATATCTGTGCAAAATTTAATATAATACATTTAAGCTAATTAATATAAAATATATATATGTATGTATATATTTATTTATTTATTCGCGGTTTTTATTGACAAATATCTATCAAGCTATAGATTATTTAACTATATATATATTATATTATATTATATTATATTATATTATATTATATTATATTATATTATATTA